GGGTCACTCCCACGGCCTGGGTATCCCTGGGGCTGGGGTCACTGCCACGGCCTGGCTCACCCCTGGGGCTGGGGTCCCTCCCGTGGCCTGGCTCACCCCTGGGACTGGGGTTACTCCTGTGGCCTGGCTCACCCCCGGATGGGCCAGGAGATCTGGCTGGGCAAGGACTTGACCCGCGGGCTGTGGGGAGGAGGGGCCGATGTCCTAGACATGTTGAGAGCGGGCAGCCAGGGAGGCAGTCGTGTCCCTCTGCCCAGAGGACTCCTCCTGAGTCTCCAGGCCCAGCCCCACGAGGAGATGGCGGCTAGACTGGGGAGTGGTCAGCCAGGCCCTCCAGGGGTGGAGCAAAGGCCGCCCCGACATCAAAGCAGCAGTAACCGGAAAGCAGCCGAGGGAAGCTTGACAGCTACAGAAATGACTTATGATCCAAGTCCTACAAACAGCGACGCTTCCTGGCGAGGTGAGGGGACATTGCGGATGTTTTCAGGTACGCAAGGTCTCAAAGGCATCACCTCTCAGGGGCTCTTGCTCGGGAAGGGACTAGAGGAGGGACTTTGTAGAACAAGAAAGAAGGGTGTGGAGCGCAAAGACGGGGATCGTGGGGAGGGAGCCAGGGAGGGCAGCTGGGCACCTCGGGACCCAGGCGGACGCGGGTGAGGCTGGAGGCTCCATGAGGGACGCCATCAGCAAACCCTGGAGCTCTGTGGCACAGGGAGTCAAGAGGTGTTACCGCCAGGCCGGCTTAGTGGCGGCTACACGTGGAAAGCAAGGCAAACAAACAGCTGCCGAACTGCAGAGAAGAGAGAGCTGAGGGAGGAGGGCAACGGGTCGCCTGCTTCCAGGCTCGGCGAGGAAGAGATTTCTATCATCAAGCGAAAACAAAGACGCTGCTAACCCTTCAAAGAACGTGGGGCAGTGGGGTAAAAATCAAATCCCATCTTCTCTTGTTGGAAGTCAGTGGGTGATGAGGAAACTGAAATCAGTTCACAGCGGTATGAAACCAGCTGCTGTCGAGCCGAGGACAGCTGACAGCACCCCCACGTGTGTCGGAGTAGAGCTGCCCCCTGAGGTTCTCAAGGCTGGGGCCACTCGGAAGCAGACGGCCAGGCCTGCCTTGCGAGGCGCCTCTGGGTGGGTTTGAAACGTTAACTTCTGGTTAGTAGTGGAGCGCCTACCCGTGCAGGACGCCCAGGGACGAGAGCGGTCTGGGGATGAGCGTGCTGTAAGAAACAGCGCGGCGTCGCCCACAGACACGCCGGCAGGAGCTCGAGGCGGTTCTCTGGAGGGGCTCGGGGCAGGCTGAGTGGGGGCTGCTGTGTCCCTGGCAGCTTTCTCTCCGTATGCGGACAGGTCAGATGAAAATGGAGTAAAAAGAGTCAGAAGGAAATAACAGACCTCGCGCCAAAACGGCCCTGAGGGTACCTCACGTGGCTGAGAAAATGACAGGTCTGACAAGGTGAGGAGAGGCCTGTGGGCAGAGTGTGGAGGTGGGAGGCAGGGCTGACACGGTTCTCCTCAGCAGGATGAGGACGGGGATGTTTACTGTATTGTGCCCGTGAGAAGTCACAACACCACGGCGCCGTAAGAGTGGACCCAGTGGACAAGGTCTCAAGTAAGATGGACAGCACGGAGGACGGACAGGACGGAGGACGGACAGCACGGAGGACGGACAGGACGGAGGACGGACAG